AGCAGCTGTAGGCAACACCAGGCAACTCTACAGACTAATAAAAGAAGTCAAGTGTAGGCGAAATAATCCCAGAAAAAGACGAAACCCTTATCTGTTCTCAGCCCAGATGTTTAGAAAAGTGGGTGGAACACCTTAAGGAGCAGTTCAGCTGCCTTTAGGTACTCTACCCACCATTTCCAAACAGTCTGAACGGTACATTGAAGTAAGTCACGCGATTCTAGCTGGAGTTCATAAGGCTGCAGCTAATCTGAAACGCGGAAAAGCAGCTGGTCCAGATGGATTGGTTCCAGAGGTCTTTAAATATGGTGGTCCAATTTTAGCGACTAGCTAAAATCTGGGAGTTGGACGTAGTCCCGTCCGACTGATCACAATCACTTATTGTCCCAATATATAAGAAGGGGCCAAAATCATTCTGTGATAACCATAGAGGGATTAGTCTGACTAACATAGCATCTAAAACACTAGCCTCAATAATTATCGGGCGCCTAACTAAGACTCGTGAACTGCGGACACGAGAAAATCAGGCTGGCTTCAGACCTGGTCGTTGCTGTATCGACTTATTGATGGAAATAACACTTTCGTCGACTGAATTTACAGGAATCGATCTCTTACCAGGAGGTCCACTTATCGACGAAGAATACGCAGATGACATAGTGCTGTTTAGTGAAGACGCTGACAAAATGCAGAATCTTCTGTTCGAACTGAGTAATAATTCCAGGATATTTGGGATGCGTTTCTCCCCATCTAAATTTAAATTGTTACTCCAGGACTGGTCTGCGTCAACACCTGAACTAAGGATAGGGAGTGAAGTAGTCGAACGCGTCGACAACTTCACTTATCTTGAAAGTCTGATCAGCCCTAATGGGTTGGTGTCTGACGAAATCTCAGCACGGATTCAAAAATCTCGTTTGGCTTTTGACAACTTACGTCACTAATGGCGAAGACGAGCTATCCGTCTATCAATTAAGGGACGAGCATACTGAGCAGCAGTTCTCTCTGTTCTACTTTACGGTTATGAAACGTGGTCATTAAGAGTAGAAGATACTCGTAAGTTACTAGTATTTGGCTACAAATGCCTTAGAAATATTGCTCACAACTGCTGGGATCACCGGGTAAGTAATAGTAAAGTTAGACTCAGGGAATGATGGTAAATCAGTTGATGAGGTCATGAATCTTCATCGACTGAGATGGTTGGGCCACGTGTTACGTATGCTTGAACACCGATTACCACGACTCGCTTTGCTAACTAGTATTGGGGATGTTTGGAAGAGAGTTAGAGGCGGTCAAACTAAAACATGGCATCAGTACTTGAAGTCACTAACATCTAGTCGGAGCCATGTTGGCAGATGTAGACCACTTGGTTGATGTCCTCGCGACCATCGCAACCAATAGTTGGAGACTCTAGGTTACATGGCTCAGGATCGATTACAATGGCATCGGTGTATACACTCTTTATCTTCCCTTAAACCTTAAGATTAAAACTGCTTCATAACGTTCTTCTTTCCTATACTATATCCCTATATGCAACCTATCTTTTATATACTGCCACCACAAAATTAACTATTTCTATGAATTCGGTGTTCATCTTGTTGTGCTAACGAGGTATGTCAACTTGGACCGATGCATATGTGTGCGTGATCCTACGTTGTAGCTGATCGACTTTTCATCAGTTTCATTGCCACTGGTCGATTCTCACGTACGTGAGAATGCTTGGTTTTATAAAGCTTATTCCACCTGTGGCACTATAGCTATGCTCGGCCACCCATCAGAGAGTGCTGAACACGTATCCATCATGGGGAATGAAAACATTCTTATTTTCAAAGACCACGAATTGTAATGATTCGTGAGAATGAAAGTTATTGTAGAAATATGTATTAGGCTGATGTACATGATTTCATTTTTGTAAATAAATTCAGGTCTTTTTTATAAAGGAGACTTGTCAACTACGTTTTCGCAACTAACGTAAATGTGTGTCATCACAATGAAAACCAAGATATATTAACATTTAGTTTATCGAAAAAATTCTGCCCAGTGATTTTAGCTATAATGAGTGTTTATCGGCTAACAACCTTCGGTCATATTTTTAAACTCCTCAATCACATTTATCGGTGTACTAAAGATTGCTTGATTTCCTATTTTCTATTCAGTAATTTATTTGGTTTGTGAATGCGAAACCAATAAATTGTTTTACTTTGTCAGATTATCGAGATTTCAGAATACTTCAGGAATAATGTCCACACACTTGTCTTTTCATTTGTTAGTACTTTCTGCTGTTGCTCTCTGTGAGCAGTCACAGCTTTTATCGAGTTTGCATGTTATGTAATTAAATAAAAATCTCAGGAACTATTTCGTGCGCTAATCGACATTGTTCCTGGGACATGTACGTTTTAGTTTGAGATCGATCAATTCCTTATTAATTGTCCACCTATACAATTTTTATTTTAGATGTGCTATCATAATTTTCTTATACCTTACGTGTAGTGTACAGTTAGTCGTCGTTTCCTTACTTCAGTATATGATAGTACTATAATCCCAAAAAACTTCGTGTATCATATCAAAATGATGACTATTCGTCTGAGTACCCATGGATGGTGTGTGCTGATTATAAGCATTTTGGTTATCTTTTTGTACTATCTGTCGTCATTTAATCCTATCGGACATCTTAAAGGGGAAGTTACCAGTGTTCGAAGATTGTTAACTCGCTGCATACATCTTTCCGAAGAAGCTGGTGGTCTTATAAAATTTATAAGTCTGAAGCATAACTTTAATTCACGTAACAAACACGGGGGGGGGGTCCGACTGATCACAATCACTTATTGTCCCAATATATAAGAAGGGGCCAAAATCATTCTGTGATAACCATAGAGGGATTAGTCTGACTAACATAGCATCTAAAACACTAGCCTCAATAATTATCGGGCGCCTAACTAAGACTCGTGAACTGCGGACACGAGAAAATCAGGCTGGCTTCAGACCTGGTCGTTGCTGTATCGACTTATTGATGGAAATAACACTTTCGTCGACTGAATTTACAGGAATCGATCTCTTACCAGGAGGTCCACTTATCGACGAAGAATACGCAGATGACATAGTGCTGTTTAGTGAAGACGCTGACAAAATGCAGAATCTTCTGTTCGAACTGAGTAATAATTCCAGGATATTTGGGATGCGTTTCTCCCCATCTAAATTTAAATTGTTACTCCAGGACTGGTCTGCGTCAACACCTGAACTAAGGATAGGGAGTGAAGTAGTCGAACGCGTCGACAACTTCACTTATCTTGAAAGTCTGATCAGCCCTAATGGGTTGGTGTCTGACGAAATCTCAGCACGGATTCAAAAATCTCGTTTGGCTTTTGACAACTTACGTCACTAATGGCGAAGACGAGCTATCCGTCTATCAATTAAGGGACGAGCATACTGAGCAGCAGTTCTCTCTGTTCTACTTTACGGTTATGAAACGTGGTCATTAAGAGTAGAAGATACTCGTAAGTTACTAGTATTTGGCTACAAATGCCTTAGAAATATTGCTCACAACTGCTGGGATCACCGGGTAAGTAATAGTAAAGTTAGACTCAGGGAATGATGGTAAATCAGTTGATGAGGTCATGAATCTTCATCGACTGAGATGGTTGGGCCACGTGTTACGTATGCTTGAACACCGATTACCACGACTCGCTTTGCTAACTAGTATTGGGGATGTTTGGAAGAGAGTTAGAGGCGGTCAAACTAAAACATGGCATCAGTACTTGAAGTCACTAACATCTAGTCGGAGCCATGTTGGCAGATGTAGACCACTTGGTTGATGTCCTCGCGACCATCGCAACCAATAGTTGGAGACTCTAGGTTACATGGCTCAGGATCGATTACAATGGCATCGGTGTATACACTCTTTATCTTCCCTTAAACCTTAAGATTAAAACTGCTTCATAACGTTCTTCTTTCCTATACTATATCCCTATATGCAACCTATCTTTTATATACTGCCACCACAAAATTAACTATTTCTATGAATTCGGTGTTCATCTTGTTGTGCTAACGAGGTATGTCAACTTGGACCGATGCATATGTGTGCGTGATCCTACGTTGTAGCTGATCGACTTTTCATCAGTTTCATTGCCACTGGTCGATTCTCACGTACGTGAGAATGCTTGGTTTTATAAAGCTTATTCCACCTGTGGCACTATAGCTATGCTCGGCCACCCATCAGAGAGTGCTGAACACGTATCCATCATGGGGAATGAAAACATTCTTATTTTCAAAGACCACGAATTGTAATGATTCGTGAGAATGAAAGTTATTGTAGAAATATGTATTAGGCTGATGTACATGATTTCATTTTTGTAAATAAATTCAGGTCTTTTTTATAAAGGAGACTTGTCAACTACGTTTTCGCAACTAACGTAAATGTGTGTCATCACAATGAAAACCAAGATATATTAACATTTAGTTTATCGAAAAAATTCTGCCCAGTGATTTTAGCTATAATGAGTGTTTATCGGCTAACAACCTTCGGTCATATTTTTAAACTCCTCAATCACATTTATCGGTGTACTAAAGATTGCTTGATTTCCTATTTTCTATTCAGTAATTTATTTGGTTTGTGAATGCGAAACCAATAAATTGTTTTACTTTGTCAGATTATCGAGATTTCAGAATACTTCAGGAATAATGTCCACACACTTGTCTTTTCATTTGTTAGTACTTTCTGCTGTTGCTCTCTGTGAGCAGTCACAGCTTTTATCGAGTTTGCATGTTATGTAATTAAATAAAAATCTCAGGAACTATTTCGTGCGCTAATCGACATTGTTCCTGGGACATGTACGTTTTAGTTTGAGATCGATCAATTCCTTATTAATTGTCCACCTATACAATTTTTATTTTAGATGTGCTATCATAATTTTCTTATACCTTACGTGTAGTGTACAGTTAGTCGTCGTTTCCTTACTTCAGTATATGATAGTACTATAATCCCAAAAAACTTCGTGTATCATATCAAAATGATGACTATTCGTCTGAGTACCCATGGATGGTGTGTGCTGATTATAAGCATTTTGGTTATCTTTTTGTACTATCTGTCGTCATTTAATCCTATCGGACATCTTAAAGGGGAAGTTACCAGTGTTCGAAGATTGTTAACTCGCTGCATACATCTTTCCGAAGAAGCTGGTGGTCTTATAAAATTTATAAGTCTGAAGCATAACCTTAATTCACGTACCAAACACGGGGGTATTTTGAAGCAAGAGCCTTTGACGGATGCTGACCTGGGATCTCATCAAATAATCGTGTCGGGTTTGGCCTCGGCCTTTCCAGAGCTACTAGTATGTCTTAAAGTTCGCCTTTTCGTATCCGTATATTTATTTTACCGTTGCTTTAGTTGTTTGTAAGCATTATAAAACCTTTTGGGATTTATTTCAGTTCGTCTTTCATTTAAGCTATTATGTCTACCGAAATCGTAGATGGTATTTTTCTAACATTTCCTTCTGAAATACTTTGTAGCAACTGGATCAATTAGTAAGTAATATTTTGATTTGTCATTAATGACATAACTGAACTGATCAACTTGTCAAGGTTTTCCACATGAGCCTTATTTATAGTAAATACAAAGTTCGTCAATAATATAACTACTACTTATATTTAAAATGGGAATTTACATATCATAATTAACGGAACTCAGTATTCGGTCTTAATTCGGTTTTTTATCTTTCAGTTATAGCCTCAAATTATTTAAACATGCAGAACAAAGTATTTGGAGTAGAATTGAGTCATGCTGATCTAAACTTCTAGGGCTACAAACTAAACTGTAAGCCCAGTCTCTTTCTTAGCCTTGGGCTTGTTTGAGTTCATTAACTCTCAGGCTGTACATTACTACTTAGTCTTGTTTGCTGGTAGATTTGGATTTACTTCTTCATGCACATAATTTGGAACACTTACTGCTGTTAATGGTAAAAATAGATATGCAAGAGTAGTTTTGATGAACATTGTGTTCACATCTCATAGCGAACATTTTGTATGAAAACACATTTTGGCCTATGTTCTCCATATAAGTTATATTTTATTTATTCGAACGCATAAATATTAGTACGAAGGGGCACCAAATACATATGTGCTACACAAGTCACTTGATATGTGTGTGGGCTGTTATACTGCCCGGGTGCCCAAACCGAAGAAGGAGGTTTTCTTGGGGGCCACACCGGAGCCTTCCACCTAAAGGTCGGATCCCCAAGGCAGTGAAGCGACATCAGGAGATGCAGTCCCATGGTAGCCGGTGACCAGTAATTGGTTCATACTCTATTTGTTCCCTCAGGATACTAGAGCCCATGTGCAGCATTGGTTTGGAATCAGTGTTTACCTACTCCTCTAGGCGGACCCTCCGTATCCACCAAACCGGGCAAAGCACTGGACATCCGTTTTTCACCTCAATTTCATAAACAACACCCCCGCCATGAGAAAGCAATGAGCAGGACTTCCTTGTCAGTGGTTGTATGCATGTGGTCATGTGAGAGCATTTTAAGAGAGAGCTGACTCTCCCTACTGTCAGCCGTACCAGGGCATTTGAAGGTAGATTTTCTCTCTCCAACCACTGAAATAATTCTGTAAATAAAATCGTTTGTTAAATTGAAGGTCACTTCGAGGTATGTGCATTAGTAATCTTCGTTTATTATGTTGTACGCAGTAATATCACACTATGGTTATTTTGAACCTTGTATTTTCTTGATAAGCTGATGTCATTAGCTTCTAATTATTCTTTAATTTAAAAACTGGTGAATCAGTGGTTTTCTAATTTTCTTCCCCAGGTTCGCTCCGAGGAGCATGAATTACCAACACACCGTCTGCTTGATTATAAAGAAAGTGTTTATCATTCGGATTTTCAAAGTTCTCTTCCTAATGATGATCTCTTTGTGCCTATTACAGATTTGGTTATATGGGTAGATCCTTTAGACGGAACTCAAGAATATACAGGTAAGATAGTTCGTTTGTAACGTTTATTATGTAAAGAATTATTGACTTAAAGTTGTGGCTAAATGTCTGTTCTCCAATGTCACTGCAGAAGAATTTACTTTTCAGAGCATCACAATAGCTGAAAATAGACGTTTAAAGTCAAATTTTTAGAATGATCTTATTACTTTTCTTGTTCACTTAGTAAATGTGTGTGTTTATTAAACTTTCAGTCACTCCATATATTCTCGCTTTAGTAAAAAATATTGTGTTTATTGCTTATTAAACTTTCAAGCTGTTATTATCCTCAATACATTTAATTTTTATCTCTTCCTTAAAAAAAACAATTTGTGGTCTTCTAAGTTTAAAGTTGTTATAATTTTAGCGGTATTGTTGTTTTTATGCTCTTCTATGGCATTTTTAATTTAGTCCAAACATGTATGCCATAATCATTTATTATAGGTCTTCTTTGATCCATTTCAAACACAATTTATCGGTTCTCCCTAACTCCTTTTTTACATTATTACAAACTTCCTCGTGATGCTCATCTGCAATTACTTCGGCTAAGGGATTCGGTCGTACTCAGCACTAAAGTATGGATCATCAGAATCTCCCTAATTGCTCTAATTATTACGTGTTATACCCAAACACCTTCAGTCGATTAGTTTATTTTAATGATCCACTCTGCTTTGAAAGCGTCTCTCCGTGAAGAATGTAAGACTGTTAGGTAAGTTAGATTAGAAAATGGATTGTGTCTCACTTTTTGAAATTCAACAATTAAGTCTTTGTTTATATCTTAACCTAGGTAAGTATAATATATTTTTTATAATAAGTCCCTTCTTCACATTTATGATATGAATACGTTCTGAATTTCCCGTTGACTATGTAGTTAAATCTCGCACTGAATCACAATAATTTACGGAGTAAGATCAATGCCACTTTTTTGTTATTTGCGATTCAAACTTTAATATGGCTGTCATTATGCTAAGATATACACTGTAAATTTGTGTCATATAGTGTGTCATGTGGAAATCACTTTACGTACACTGACATCTTTAGAGTTCCCATCTTCACTTAAGAAATTGTTTACCAAAATGACAATTTCATCTGTCGTATTTTATTGTGGTTGACAAGCGTTGTTCAAAACTGAGTCTTTTTTTAGCAGAACCTAGATAAAACAAAACAATTCCAACTAACAAGTCAATAGTTCCTAAAATTCTTTTACTGGTTTTTAGAGAACCGGCTACAAAAGCTTGTCGAACAGAAACTGAATTATGTACACTAGATCCCCTCCCAGTGTCTACTCTCCCGACCGTTGCTGCCACCTTGACGCTTTACCAATGAAATCGCAAATTTACAGTGCACATTACCCTATCAGTCCATCAAATTTCAATTGATTACACGTAACAGACGAAAAAAAATATGTAATCATTTTGCATATTGGGCTTGCGTAAGAAAATAATCACTTGGATATGAGTTGGTTTAACAGTTGAGGTGTATCTCCGTTACACGAGAAAGCAATTTAATAAAACAAACTTCGAATTTTTTTTATACTTTTTCAAGATGAGATATTTCTGTGAAATTAGGTACTTACTTACATACTTATGCCTGTTACACCTCGTGGAGGAACATAGGCCACTTACCAGCATTCTCTATCCAACACTATCCTGAGCAATGTTTTCTCGACCGTTGCTACTACCTTTATGTGGTGGCCGGGATTGCGTATCGTGATGAACCAATCGAGCTATACTGCCTGGGACAATCGTTCTTCAAGGTCCTACCACGCCAGACAGGTCAATTGAAGAGCGGTGAGACTAAAAGCAGCAAACCCAAGGTCCGAAGGCGAAGGCGTACTGCTGACTGTACAGAGTTGTGACGGCAGTAAGGTGTTTCCTTCAGACAACCAGCATAACAACGATGCTGCCTTCCCACAAGGAGGTGTGGGGTTAAAAAAGGTCGACCCTAAAAGTGCACACCTCGCCTCATCCCACTGATATCCGTCTCCGGCAGTAAAGTCCCTACAAGTACGGAGCCAACACAAAAATTACCCACAAAAAGGTCCCTTGGGCACTGTGGTCACGCTCTCAGGTCACTAAGACCACTTCTAATCCAATTCCCTTTTCAGGTACCTCCGGAAGAACCCTTCCACGGTGTGGGCCACCGGGAAGTGGTAACCACCCTCATACCTCTAACAGCACACACGATCACTGTATACACGATCAATCTCCTTCAATTCCTATTACTCCTCCTATCTTGACTTTCAACACTAAACTTCCTCTTTTGGCTTCCTCCTCAAGTGTCGCCATAGCCAACGATTCTATTGCACAAAACACTCTCAGGTCTGCTGAAACTTCGCTCCAAACTACACATTGGAGCCTTCAACGTACGCACCCTATGTTAAATCGGCCAGCAGGCCTCCTTGGCTAAAACCGTAGAATCTCTTGCAATTGATGTATGCTGTGTCTCCGAAACACACATACAGGATCCTAGTGTGGTCATTCACTTGACTTCACCTCGCCAAAACGGAGAGCCGACGAGATACACCCTCCTTTTATCTGGCGACCCGATGGCTAATTCTCGTGGACTGGCAGATGTAGGCATAGCACTTAGTGCGAGAGCAGAACAAGCACTATTAGAGTGGATTCCCGCTAACAGTCGTCTATGTGGTGTTCGGCTAAACGGCTCTGTAATAACTCAGAAGGATAGAGACACACGACTGCAGCCCGGATGAAGTGAAAGATGACTTTTACAGAAAGCTCTCTGAACTTCTACATAAACCTAAACGCTCAGATATAGTACTCGTAGCAGGTGACTTTAATCCCCAAGTAGGTAACTTAAACCAAATAGAAAGACATTTATGTAGGTATTTTAGTATTCCGGCTCAGCGAACAGTTAATGGTGACCGTCTGTTGCAACTATGCTCAGACAATCGTTTATTTTTAGCAAACAGTAATTTTAATCATAAGGAGAGACATTATCTAAAGCGACAACCCTCTGCACCAAACCAACGACAAACTCAAATAGACCATATTGCCATCAGTCATCGTTGGAGAGGCTCGATAGGAGACTTTCTCGTTCTGAAATACATTTTTGGACTCTGATCATGATCTAATACGAGCACGTATTTGCATGCGCCTTACTGGACGATGAAAAGCCACACTAAGAAAACGCATTAGAGTTGAACTCAGCGACGAGGAAGCCAAAGATAAATTCCATGGACAACTGAAGTCACACTTAGGCAATTTTGAAAATGAGGCTGACCCAGATGCTGCTTCGAAAGATATACGAACAGCTGTGGTAACAGCAGTAACATCTATTAGTGATTTTAACCAAAGGATTAGGAAAAACCAGTGGATTTCTATCAAGTCTATTGCACTGGTGGATTCTCGTAAAATCATCCCATCAGGCTGTGAACACGATGAAGAGCGAAAACAAGTCATATCTAGGTTAACCAAAAGCCTAAGGAACGATCGTGAGCAGTGGTGGGCAACGAAAGCAAAAGAGATGGAAAAGGCAGCAGCTGTAGGCAACACCAGGCAACTCTACAGACTAATAAAAGAAGTCAAGTGTAGGCGAAATAATCCCAGAAAAAGACGAAACCCTTATCTGTTCTCAGCCCAGATGTTTAGAAAAGTGGGTGGAACACCTTAAGGAGCAGTTCAGCTGCCTTTAGGTACTCTACCCACCATTTCCAAACAGCCTGAACGGTACATTGAAGTAAGTCACGCGATTCTAGCTGAAGTACATAAGGCTGCAGCTAATCTGAAACGAGGAAAAGCAGCTGGTCCAGATGGATTGGTTCCAGAGGTCTTTAAATATGGTGGTCCAATTTTAGCGACTAGCTAAAATCTGGGAGTTGGACGTAGTCCCGTCCGACTGATCACAATCACTTATTGTCCCAATATATAAGAAGGGGCCAAAATCATTCTGTGATAACCATAGAGGGATTAGTCTGACTAACATAGCATCTAAAACACTAGCCTCAATAATTATCGGGCGCCTAACTAAGACTCGTGAACTGCGGACACGAGAAAATCAGGCTGGCTTCAGACCTGGTCGTTGTTGTATCGACCACATATTCACTATTCGTCAGGTTCTAGAACACAGGCATGCTTATCGGCGTTTGGCAATGATGGTTTTTCTTGACATGGAAGCATCATTTGACTCTATAGACCGAGAGGTTCTGTGACGGTGTCTGTCATTGAAAGGTGTACCTCAGAGGTACATAAAACTTGTGGGGGTTATTTACACTCTTTGTCTTTCCTTAAACTAAGATTGAAATTGCTTCATGTCCTTATTATATCCGTATATGCAACCTTTGTTTCATATATTACCACCATTAAATTAAGTATTATGAATTAGGTGTTCATCTTGCTGTACCAATGAGATATAGCAACTTGGACCGATGCATATATGTTCCTGGTCCTACGTTGTAGTTGACCGACTGAGTGTCTACTGTAACGGACTTCGACACAACGCAGACTTAGAACACGGGATTAATCTGACAAGAACGTAAATATTTTTCTACACCAGAACCCGACACAATTCAACAACGAATGGACAACCAATCAATAATCCAGACCATGATAATAACAGCGGGAGAATATACAACTTATCTAACACCTGTCAGACTATCTACACATCTGACTATGCAAAATTACCAATCATTATTCCTCCCGCCCATACATAAACTTTCTCGCGAATTTTGATCATTGACTTCATGTGTAGGTGTATCTGAAAAAATCTCGTTTGTTTCCGTTCTCTTGATGACCTTCGGCTAGCTTCTGATTCCAGCTCATTTTTTCTCGTTTCAATTTTTGGTGGTGGTGGAATATTCAATGTATCACACAGTATTTCTGTTGGTAATGATCTGGGTTTAGATGACTCATAAACATTTTTTCTATCTCGCAGTTGATTTATGTGTTTAGTAATTAGTGTATGTTCAACCATCACTCCACACAACGCCGTTCCACGTCTTTTTTTATACACCCGAATACCCATTTTGGCTTGTCAGGCTGGAAATCACGTGCATAAACTAAATGACCTTTGAATTCTTGTATCTTCGGGCAATTCCCTTTGCTTTTTTGTAGTCCACTCATCCTGTCTTTTAGGATCAAAACACCAAAGAATGTTCTAATAGGTCGGCCAAATATTATTTCGGCTGGTGATTTTCCGTCTTGACAGTTTGGACTCGGTGTAATTCTTTAAGGGATTAGAAACTGTTGCAGAGCCTCTTCTACATTATGTTCTCCCATCTTTTAGAGAGCTCGCTTAATAATGTCAACAAATTTTTCTGCTTGTCCATTTGACTGAGGGTGGTACGGTGGGTTCTAATATGTTCGATTCGATTTTGTTCATACAACTCCGCAAACTCTAACGACGCAAACTGCGTTCTGTTATCTGAAATCAAAACACTAGGTGTCCCGAACCTACCTAATAGTTGTCTGAGATGTAACAGTGTTTCAGATGTAGACGGTCTTCACACAACATAGATTTAAGGCCATTTAGAGTTCGAATCTACCACCACCAAAAAATATTGTCCATTAATTGGTCCAGCATAATCTATGTGTACTCTGGCCATGGCTCGGACTCTACTTTCGGTGTATTCAACGGTAGATTCCACAAACCAAATTTATCTATCCAATCAACACCTAATAATTTGGTATAACAGATCCCAGATATATAACATTTTCCAGTCATAGTCTTGTCACACAATGAGAGAGGTAGTCGCATTTCTCGAAGAAGAGTAATATTGTGGTGTGGTCTACTTATATCCATATAAGTAGTATATGGTGTTGGTCAGACATAGAATGTATTTTGGCAGAAGACCGATGAGGAAAGAACTGAAATGAAGCGCAATCGTTAGGAAAATGCATGAACAATAGAACTGGAGAAGAAACATTTTATTGCTACAAAATCCACTGTGACTGAATATATAGGCGTAGATTTGTTTTAACCACCGTCGCCAATGTTATATCGATCTGCTTTCTTTTTTACGCGAATGGGACGGTAATTTACCTTAGACGAATATCTACAGTAAGTTCCCTCCCAGTGTCTATTCTACAGGACTTCGACACAATGCAGATCAAGAACGTAAGTATATTTCCACACCGAAACCTGACACAACCCAACAACAAATGGACAACCAATCAATAATCAAGACCATGATAATAACAGCAGGAGAATATACAACTCATCTAACACCTGTCAGACTATCTACACATCTGACTATGCAAAAAAACCAATCATTATCCTTCTCGCCCACACATCAGAAACCATAATTACTTTTCTTTTTTTAGATGAGTTACTAATTTCTCAAGTATTCGATATATTTGATGCTTGCCGTGTTCTGTAATTAAGCAAAGTTTTTTCGCATCTTACCTAACATTGGACGGTGGCCATTGTAACACAACAGATCACCAGCAAAATACACTATCATTTATGTCAGTTAATCAGAATCAACCATGTGATTCGACATATAAAGACCTAACTGAACTGAATGGGTAAGAATGACACAATGTTTGAATGACCTACAATATGCATGACTCAATTACCACCTGATATAGAAGGTAGAAGAACACGTATCCTAGTACAAAGTACTCTATTAGTCACTTATATACAGTCAATAGATGTTCGTATTCTTCCTCTGGTTGACAGAATGATGTGGACTGACCTCTCGCCAGCCGACCACAATATCGTTAGTGTGAGTGCACCCGTTACTTTTTCGCACCTTTACCTTTTTTGTATATGTATTTATCTGATTAATATATGTGACATGTAACTATATTTCTCTTAGTTCATTTTGTTTTATTTCTGAATGTTCTATGGTAGAAGGTTTAAATGAATATGTTAGCGTCATGATATGTATTGTACTTCATGATCACCCAATAGCTGGTATTATTCATCAACCGTTTCTTAATAAAACATGTAAGTTTTGGTCTCGTATATCGCCAATTTTTCTTCGTTTTGTTATCTATGATCTAACAAACTATTAGTGCATATATATACATGTATTTATATATAATGCATATTTATAGATATATAAAAATATAGAATGTGTATTTAAGTATGAAACAAAGTGTATTTATCTGGAGATGATGATAAGTTGACAAACATTCGTGTTGGTGATTTTCCAGTTAAGTTACGGTATCCAAATGCTTCTGACGTCTCCATTTTATCTTATCGTTTCTTATTTCACTCATTGTTAGCTAATCTATAAACTTTGTATCATAAGCTACTATGGCAAGTTTTTTGATTATAGTTCATAATGATTTGAATTAAATCTGTAAAGCAGATAATTTCAAATAAAATGAAATGAGACATCGCTGTCTAGTCCACTTTTTTGGCTATTTTCCCACGCTTCGTGAAAATGTTAATTCATTTTTCAAACTTCTAAAACCCAGCAATATAGTCTTGTGGTTACAAACGGACATACACATTCTGAAAAGACTTTATAGGAGCTATTTATTCGCACAAAACTGAATTCTAGACTTCTGTTTCAAAAGTGATATATATATATATATATATATATATATATATATATAAAGACTTGAAAGTATTAAATCAAAGTTCAATGCTCCAACTTTATGCGAGGTAGTGTACACAGCTATCAATCGTCTTGTTTAACAGCCACCAATATTATACTCATGTTCGGGTTGGAGTAGATGACTTTAATTTAGACTTGTAACCAAGCATCACTGTTCAAACACTTAATCCTGTGATTAAAAATTTAAAAATGAAGGAAACTTTGTTGTAATATCCTTTTTATCTAATATACTGCTTCGTTTAACAGCACATAATATTTCAAGTGAAGTAACAGATTTTACGTAATTATTTCACTTGGATGACCACATTGATGTTCATACATTTTCTGAAAGGGTTTTTGATAAGTCTTGTTTATTGAACGCTGTACTCGGATCCTAAGCTAGTCTCGTAACCCCCAAGCTAAATTTACACAGCGACTTGAACACGAAAGAAAAAGCTCAAAATATGCGAGAAGCACTTTGCTTCAAAGGTTCAATCATGTATAGAAAATGTAGGGTTTTTATAGTATTTTAAAAGTCCTTGGGTTTTCCTGAAAATTCTGAAATTCTACTAAACATAGTAGCAGTGTAGTAATCTGCCACTCAGAATCTCTACATGTGACCTTTCATTTTCGTGATGTTTTTCTAGCAAAACTTCTAGTCAAACGCTGATTGGATAAAATGCTTCTTAATGTTTCCTGAGCTTGTCATGTCTATTGCGAGAAATTTTCTGGATCATCCTAACAGTTTTTACTAGTGCTGCCTGGTTTCTTAGATTAAAATAAATAATTGGACTCGAGAAAGTAGTTATAAGCTTATTCAGCAAATCAGAAAATATGGTGAATCATAAGGGATGTTTGTCTTTGGGACATTCACAAACTACATCTTGGTATCATGTTTTATTTGGGCAAACTATATTGTCTATAATTGCTGAGGAATCTATCCTCTTGTGTATTTTGTTTACTAACCCATCTACCAAGTACAGATTTATGTACTTGGCTTTGAGCTACATTCTAAAGGGCCTGTTAATAATACCCGGTTGCCCAAATCAAGGTAGGTGGAGTGGAGCTCGGACTTGGGATGTATTGGCTGAAAGTCGAGTGTCTTATGCAGTAAACCGCCGCTCCTGTTGTCTAGTTATTGTTGATATTTATCGGTGGTTGATTATTGCTTTCTTACACAAATCATGAGAAGTTGGGAATTGGTGGGTTATCTTTTCCTGTTTTCTATTGATATTGTTCCTTTTGTTAGTGGTGAGTGATATTTTCCTCATCATATGGTTCTCGGAATCGGTAAAGAACTGGTTATGTACACTAAAGTTTCCATACTACGGTAGTTCATAATTTTAACTCAGTGTGTATGTGTCTGTCGACAAATAGTAACCTCTGAAAAGATTTATGAATCCAATAAAAGTCTTCCGTACACTAATTGAGTAGTTTTACGTAAAAAAATTAATAATTCGTCATCAGGTTTTCATTATGTGATTATTAGTTTACAATCAATTTACGCATCTTCATGTTGCTCTTAAGAGTTTATGAAAATGATATTTATACCTAACATTTTCGTTAATCGAGTTTATTTGATGGTTCGGTGAAATCGAATTTAATTGCCTCTATCCTTTTGTTAAGTGAATTGAAATAACTAGTTGTTTGGAGAATTAGTTCGAAATATTATATTTTCAGTTCTGTAATATCAGAACCAAACTGAAAAGTTATAATTTTTCATTAAATCAAATATTTCAAAGTATTATGACCCAATAATTATATGGACGTTGTAAATGCTTACTTATGGGAATGTAAATCACCAATTGTTTAAAGGAATAAAAAAGAGTTCACTATTATAGAAATTGTTTGCAACTTAGCTGATCTTCATAATTAGGAGAATTAGGAGTATTAAAAAAAATCCACTAGATTGATTATCTATATCGTCTTATTGTAACTAAGTATCTATCCTTTAAATGGGAGATTCCAAATGACTGGAAAGGATCTTGGATATAAGCATATAGGTTTTTCGAATATAAGTTCCAATAGTTACGTTCGTTATCATAAGTTATTGATTCAAGTGAATTTATGTATAACGTTTGTGTTGGGATGACCCTGCAATTTTCTCTCAATCGACATGACAAGCTCATGAAACATCAAGGAGCATTTCAACCAATCAGCGATTGATTAGAAGTTATGTGAAGTTGTTACTAAAATAGCAAAAATGAAAAGTCACATGTAGAGATTCTGATTGGCTGGTAACTACACTGTGACTATGTTGAGTAGTATTCTGGAATTTTCAGTACAACCCAAAGACTTCTAAAATAATATAAAAACTATATTTTCTGTACATAAATGAACCCTTCAGTAAAGTGCTTCCTACACATTTGTGCCTTTTCTCTCGTCTTCAAGTCGCTGTAAAGTTCTAGCTAGGGGGTTACGGAACTAGCTTAGGATCCGAATATAGCGTTCAATCGGCGAGACGCAACAGTTTGAAATTAAAACAACCATCAACAAAGGATCTTGAAAATTATGCAAATTGTACTACTAGTCTTCAAATAAAAGTAGTTTTTTGACAAGAAACATTCGTTGGATTAAGTAAAATCGCATATTGAGTTGGAAACTATTAGCGGGACATAGATTGGTTTAAAACATGTTCCATGCACGATTGAGTTGGTGCACGCTGATTGGATAAGTATTAGCCAATCAGCGCTAGTCGATACTTGAAGAAGACTCCATAATCTTCTCATGTAAAATCTATAAATATACTAACGTATTTCTTATGGTGCTTCTTACTTCAATCTACCCTTGTTATTCGGAATATAATTTCTTGCATGTTCAACTGTGTTCTGATTTGGGGACTTGTCGAGTGAATTGGTGTCCATGAATAATAAGCAATAGGAATAGCCGGGTCGTAATAAGAGAAATTATAACAGAGACATTATTCAAATTTTTTTAATAACTGTTAAGTTAGATCTTAAACATGCGCTTCGAAATATCTCAATTCTTTGACGTGTGGTAGCTCATTTGATAAGGATTTTACTCATTTGACTGATATACATTATTCTAACTTTGTTTCACCATAGACTGGGGTTGGGGTTCATATGCATTATCATCTGATTTACGAATGGCCATAAATTCTCGTCCTGTTCATTCGTTAAAAAACGATTTGTCAATTACTTATTCACGTTCACATTTAAACGAATCACTCCTAAAAGATTTGACCAAATTTGTATATCCGAAACCGGTTCATTTTATACCAGCAGGTGGTGCGGGTAAGTAGTTCTTCGACTTTTCCTTACGAATGGATTAGTTGGCCATAACAATGATAAATTTGATAAATACATATTACATATGTTAAATTTTCCCTCTGATTTGTTATGTAGCGGACCTTGGAAACATAATTTTACGACTTAAAGTTAGGCTCAAAAGACCATGGTAACTGAAAACATAAATGTTGATTTTAAGAAAAAAGATTAACCTTAGTGGGCGTGGTAAACAAAAATGCAAAATTACGTACAATTGTTTTTATAGAGCACAATGGAAAATTGCCTTAGTTTGTCTTCCAGCTTCTGTTTTAAAGCACTTTTAATAACTTATCAAGCCACTGAGTTGTCATTGTGACCCTATTCAGACATTTATAATAACCTGACAGATATGAACCAAAGTTTGTCATCTCCAGTTTAGCCACGTGATGTGAACCTTTCGCTACGTGTAGGTTCATTTTATCTAAGAAGTCACTGTCGTTACTCCTTAAATTACCCTTATGAACAAACTGCTGAGTAGTGTAGGTGTTCAAGCACCCGGTACAGTAAGGTTATGACCGATTTGATTTTGTCGATATTTGCCTCTCACAGGACCACATAGTTATTTGATTATCGTAGTGAAAAATGAGTTGTTTTAACTATTTTCCTAAGCACCGTCCCAAATATTTCATTTATCTCCAATGATTTCTACTAAACGGATTGTACATACTGTTTACACAATAACCAAACGTTCATCTGCTTTCTGATTATGGTTGACTGATCTTCTGATGATGAACAACATTGCGGAAATTTGTGTAACTGGATTAACTAACGTTAAATAGTAGAAGGCTATCGGAAGACACCATTGTGAGGCTTACACGTAATCTTGAGGGAACTGCTATCCCTTGTGGGATTCGAACTAGTGTCACTTTCTGAGAACCTGCAACTGATCTGTTCGGGACCTCATTGACTGCCTGCAGAAGTAAGACATTTGCCTAGATTTACCACAGTTTTCTTCAAGATGATGTTACAGTAGTCCCTGGTGCTGATAAAATTTTATTCATCGGGTCGTAATTTAGCCATCAGTTTCATCAACCCAGAATCCCGTGCACTATGTTCCAGTTTAAGGTGGTTTCGGTTGAACGTCATCAATCATGACTTCTTACCTAGAATACATTCACTATTGAGAAGTCGTGTTTAGCATAGCTTAATGATGTTGATTCGTTTCACTTCAAGTGGTGTTCTAGAGATAACGCTCTCTTCATCAGAAGTTGATTTTCCACCAGGAGATTTACTTGTTGATTTAGAATACGCAGATAATGGGGTTTTGCGTGGTTAAGTTGTTGACGAAGTGCAGTCTTCTGGCGGCCTTGAGCAACAATTTAATCTTCAGTGTGGGATTCTCTTCCTCTTAATACATAGTGTTGATTCGGAACTGGCCTGGATTAGCTCCTGAATTGATGGCATTGAGTGAACTAGTCGGGTATATCAACCGACTCACTTACCTTGGAAGTTTCATCAGTCCTAATGTCCTGGTACATGACGAAATCTCGGCACTGATTTAGGAACTTCGCTTGACTTTGTCCAACTTGTGGCGCAGGTGATATATCCGTCTACCAAACAAAGAACTAGTTTACTGTGCAGCAGTTCGCTTCGTCCTACCTTATGGGTATGATTTATGGCGATTAAGAATAGATAATACTGGCATTTTACCAGTTTTTGACCGTACGCTTCTTCAAAACATCACTCGTGTATTCTAGAACCACCGAGTCGGCAATTCTACCGTTAACCATATGATGCTAAGTAAAGATAGCGAGTCAGTTGATGAAGTTAGTCACTCAGCAACAACGCAGGATAAGGCAAATATATGCATCGATCACAGTTGCCATAGCTTATTAGCACAACAGGATGAACACCGAATTCATAGAAACAGTCACTTCAACGGTAGTAATGTATAAAAGAAAAAATTTCATTTAGGGATATGATACAGCGAAAAAGAATTAGTTGGTAGGAAGAAAGGTATAAGGTAATTTTCACCTCATAGTTTAAGAGCAGACAAAGAGTGCATACATCTACGCCATTGTGATCGATTCTGAGCCGAGTCGCCAACCATTGGTTACGATAGTCACGCGGACACCAACCAAGTAGTCTGCATCTGCCAGCATGTCTCAGACTAGATGTTAGGGACTTCAAGAACTGGTGCCATGTTTTGGTTTGGCCGCCCCTAAGTCTCTTCCAACCATCTCCAACACTAGTCAGCATTGCGTGTCGTGGTAATCGGTGGTTGGGCATGCGTAATACGTTGTCCAACCATCTCAGTCGATGAAGATCCTTAATCTCATCAACTGATTTACCACCATTCTCTAATACCCTGTGTCTAACCTCACTATTACTTACGTGGTGATCCCAGCAGATGCGAGCAATATTTCCAAGACATCTGTGATCAGATACTAGTAACTTACGAGAATCGTCTACCCTCAATAGCCACTTTTCGCAGCCGTAAGGTAGAATAGATCGAACTGCCGCACAGTATACTCGTCCATTAATCGATAGACGGATATCTCTTCTTCGCATTAGGTGACGTTAGTTGCTAAAAATCCATTTTATCAGCGTCTTCACCAAACAGGACTATGTCATCTCCGTATTCTAAGTCGATGAGTGGATCTCCCAGTAGGAGATCAATTCCTGGAAATCCAGTCGACGAGAGTGTTATTTCCATCAATAAGTCTATGATGAAGTTAAACACAAACGCGGACAGTAGACAACCTTGTCGGACACCACTTGAGGTTGTACAACCATTTGACAGTTCGCCGTAAGCTCTCAATCGACTGGTAGTGTTCGAGTAAAGAGCCTTCACAAGGTGTATGCACTTCTCAGCCAATCCATCGAGACCATTTGGTTTTCCTCGTTTCAGATTAGCTGCAGCCTTATGAACTCCAGCTAGAATCGCGTGACTTACTTCAATGTACCGTTCAGGCTGTTTGGAAATGGTGGGTAGAGTACCTAAAGGCAGCTGAACTGCTCCTTAAGGTGTTCCACCCACTTTTCTAAACATCTGGGCTGAGAACAGATAAGGGTTTCGTCTTTTTCTGGGATTATTTCGCCTACACTTGACTTCTTTTATTAGTCTGTAGAGTTGCCTGGTGTTGCCTACAGCTGCTGCCTTTTCCATCTCTTTTGCTTTCGTTGCCCACCACTGCTCACGATCGTTCCTTAGGCTTTTGGTTAACCTAGATATGACTTGTTTTCGCTCTTCATCGTGTTCACAGCCTGATGGGATGATTTTACGAGAATCCACCAGTGCAATAGACTTGATAGAAATCCACTGGTTTTTCCTAATCCTTTGGTTAAAATCACTAATAGATGTTACTGCTGTTACCACAGCTGTTCGTATATCTTTCGAAGCAGCATCTGGGTCAGCCTCATTTTCAAAATTGCCTAAGTGTGACTTCAGTTGTCCATGGAATTTATCTTTGGCTTCCTCGTCGCTGAGTTCAACTAATGTATGATATCTACTATTGGTGGTCTTCCAGAGCTTAGATATTAAAGAATTCATAATAGGATTTTCACCGGTATGCCTAAGGTTTCAGAAACAGAATATATGCATCTTGATTTCAAACGATCGACCTTCGCATCTTTCAAAATAGCTTACGTAATCTATGCGATAACCATAAGTGGACAGGTCTACTTCCAAATACGTTCAAACAGTGGGGTCCCGTCGTAGTCCTTAAATTATGTAGATATGTGAATAGTTGACTCATAAGTAGCAGATAATTTTTCGTTCAAGTAGTGGGCATATTGATCACGTCACTCTAAAAATCCTGAAACATCGTTACCCTTTTTACAGGTCAAATATTGTGAGATTGTTTGTTGAAGGAGGGTGTGCATGATAACTTTATTAGGAACGTCAAGTATTTTTACCTCAGGAGAATTAAGGACATACTAGTAATTAATTATCTCAAATCGCATTGGCTTTAGATGACTGTTTCAGATGTCGTTACAATGTCAATCATAATTAAAAATAAATATCCATTGCCATTGATGGTATTTTAATCCTTGTTAACTGCGGAACTAGGTCTTTCCACATTTTTGCTATGTTTTCAATTTTGACTGACTCAAAGCTTTCCTATTAGTTAAGTTTCAAACGGTTTAAATAAATTTATCGATGGGAAACTAGGTAACTCGACTTAAATTCAGTACATGTTATGCGCTGGCATTCATAATTCTTCGAAAATATTTTACAGTCCACTCTTTAGGTCTTCTATGTTTTCATCTACCTGTGTTGCAGTAATAGTTCATAGATTAGGGATCCAACAAGCGTGCATACTCTTTTTATTAACATTTTTGATTTTCATATCCAATTAAAATATTTTTTTAATTTACCATTGATTATACATGTAAACGATAAATGTCTTGTAATCTTTAATATCAGCGTAAATACTTATTTTGTGAAATGAAGGTTCAAGTACACCAAATATAATAGTTTATTAGTTAAACTATTCAACTTCAAGTCAACAAGTTGTAGTTTCGAATTCAGCCTACTTCGGTTTGGATCGGCAGGTAGTATCATGAGCCTTCACATAAAGTATGACTAAAGGCTGAATATATAGACTTCTGTTTAGTAAACGAGTATCATTGAGTTTTTAAATTGTGAACTAAATATGATTTTCTAAACAAAACAGAATACGTTGATTTAAGGATCTTCAGTCTCATTTTCGGGCAACCTTTTGATGCGAAATCTCTAGTCAAAATAATTTCTTGCTAATGCCCTATATGAGATCGCTTGATGTCATTCACAATAATACCCATTCTCTGTTCCATTATTTGTTAAGATTTGCTTATTTTCCCTGTGTTATCAGGAGTCATAATAGCCTGAAAGAATCTACTCTTAATTCCTACTTGACATTTCTTTTCGATCTTTCCTCTCGTTGTGTTGAGTAGAGTATGTTTAAGTCCTAGGAAACTACTTAGTTATATTACAGTAGGTATCGTAACCGGACTCCGCCTGCAGCTCTTTTAGAGTTACTTCCGGTCCCAAGCCCGGGTAAAGGAGGAGGGTTGGGCATGGGGTTAGCGACCCCATCCTGTAGAAAAACTAACTCGCTAAAAGAACGCTAACCAAAAAAATTAATTCAAACCATTTAAACTCTGCCCTGGGAGTTGAAGGAATAAGCGGACATGAAAAAGATGAATAACACCTGGAAAGAACTGGAAAAGATTGCCCAGGACAGAGTTGGGTGGAAAATGCTGGTGGGCGGCCTATGCTCCTTCACGAGGGGTAACAGGCGTAAGTAAGTAATCGTAACCGGACTAGGATGTAGGTGGTTACGCATATTTTTTACGACTCAAGACTAGCATGTATTTATCTTCGTCTGAATATTAATGGGTGAACTATTTTATGACTTTCAATCCACTAATATTCTAACTCTTACTACTACATTCTTGTTAGTTTGCCCATAGTTGT